GGTTTAAAGCTGTTATAAGTAAAATTAGCGTGAAAATTGTCGCCTTAGTTTGGTGACTTTTAAAGTAAAGTACTCTTCTTTGTTCTACAAAATCAGGTAAATTTGACTTAATACAACATTTTCAGTAAAAATTCCCCCTAAACTATGTTCTTTAAAGAACGGACAAAATTTCCGTACAAGAAAAAAAAAAAACAATCTGAAAAAAAGGAAACAAAAATGTAGATAAAAATCACTCAATAATCGGAAAAAAATACTGATTAGTTTTTTCCTTTCCCTAATATTTGACGAGCGCCCGATTTCATCGTGATAGCACACACTTGTGCCTGAAGGGTATTCCTTTTCATTAATATTTTCATCGATTACAATACAATTGTCGTAGCAGACGAAGACTTCTTTGAGCAGTAGGTCAAAAATGGATTAAATAACATTCTTCGTTTTAAAGCTGTTGAGCAGTCTTTTATTCGTTTAACCCCCCTCCTCGTAGTGGGTTTTTTCAAAAGCCCCATCGAACCAGTTTAAATCAGTTCGGAGGCAATCTGCTTCGGTCGTATATGCCAGGGCTAACCCAGCCCGAGTGGGATACAACCTGAAAGCAGACAAAGGACGATGTCGATTTATTTTTAAAAGGGGATAAAACTGCCCTCTACGCCGGAATCGAACTGACACCTTATGTATGCAACAGCAAAGTGCCTAACAGGCCAGGGTGGTAAAGCTGTGAGTCCTTTTTTATACCTAGGACGACATTGAAAGCTTTAAAAAAAATTAAAACCCGACGCTGAAAGAAATTAATAATTAGACATTACGAAAACGTTTTTCACTGCAATGTTATATCAATAGAAATAGTGCGACAGGTATCCGTCCGTCCATCCATCCATCCATCCATCCATCCATCCATCCTTCCATCCATCCATCCATCCATCCATCCATCCATCCATCCATCCATCCATCCATCCATCTATCTAACTATCCATCCACCCCCCTCTCCCCCATGTCTTCCCCTTCTACAAATAATTATGTAATATACATATTCATAACCCCGCGCATCCTCTCTCTACCCTAGTTCGTGTCCCACCCCAACTGCCAACAGAGAATCGCCCGCTACTGGTACGAGGGTCTCGGAGGTATGGACACTGCTACTTGGTATAAGCGGCTCGCCTTCCTCTTCTCCGGGATATTCCTCTACCCCATCATGGTCCCCGTCTTCCTCGTCATGCCAGACTCAAAGGTCAGTCTAGTTTATTTGAGTAAGCATTCATGGTACTTTGACTCATCACACCCCCTTTCCACGCAAATTGTAAGATCACGCAGCGGCATATATGTACCTCTAAAAACAAAGAAAGAAAGATATTAAAAAAAAAAGCTTTCTTTAACCATCTAGCATAAGGCTGTTGTCAGACTAAGCATCAATGTCTATTGCTCTCTCGAGTATGTATCTACATAACTCTAAAGGTTTTGTAATTAAATTCCTGCACTTGGTTGAATAAGGCATCTGATATGATATGTACCTTATTTTGTCCGCTTTACTTGTCTTTTCATATTGAATTTTAATGGGAGTAATATTTCATTAAAATCTTTATGTATACCCACATGTGTTTTTACGATCCTGTACAGCCAAGAAAAAGGCAATAATAAAGTATTATCTCATCTTATCTTATTTTATCAATTACGTTCGTTTTGGTGCTGGGGAGACGGCAAGACAGACAGGTAGAACCATCAGAGGGGAAGGCAAAGAGGTATAGGACTTACCAGATGCGCCTTTCAAACCATCCGCTCTTTAAAGTGATAGCTTTTTGCAATCCCCCCCCTCCCCCGTCTCCTTTTCTGTTTCTCTCTCTCTCTCTCTCTCTCTCTCTCTCTCTCTCTCTCCCTCTCTCCCCCCTCTCTCTCTCTCTCTCTCTCTCTCTCTCTCTCTCTCCCTCTCTCTCTCCCTCTCTTTCTCTCATATATTCATCCTTTCCAATGTTCTCTCCTTTCTCCCCATCCATTCTCTCTATCTACCCCTCTCTCTCTCACTTTCTTCCTTTCTCTCTTTTCTCTCGATTTTCTATGTCTCTCATTCAACCCCATTCTCTCTTCACCCCTTCTATCTTTCTACCCCCATCTCTCTTCTTTCATCTCGCTCACCCTCTCGTCTTTTTAAAAATAAGTTCACCCTCCCCATTTTCCAACCATCTAAGCACCCCTCACGTATGTTTCTCAGCACACCGGTATCCTTTCTCTTCTCGTCACCCCAACAGGTTGGCAAAATCCTCCGACTCCCGGCTGTGAAGTTCATAAGCCACATCATCTCCTACATCGTTTTCCTCATCCTCATCATCATCTCTAGCATCGAGAGTGTTGGCCTTATCTCCAAGACCAATACGCTGGGTTCCAACTTCCCCAAGGCTTACCAGCACTACACTCGCTTCCGTAATGTTACCGGAAATGACGTCTACGGCTATGACTTCCCACTACGTCGCCATGAGCCGCTAGTCACAGACTACATGATCTCTCTTTGGATCATGGGTCAGTGTCAGTCAAAATATAAACA